GTCAAGAGATCGAGACCGTCCTGGCCAACATGGTGAAACCCCGTCTCTACTAAAAATACAACAAAATTAGCCGGGCGTGGTGGCGCGTGCCTGTGGTCCCAGCTACTCGGGAGGCTGAGGCAGAAGAATCGCTTGAACCCAGGAGGCGGAGGTTGCAGTGAGCCGAGATTGCGCCACTGCACTCCAGCCTGCAACAGAGCAAGACTCCATCTCAAAAAAAAAAAAAAAAAAATATATATATATATATATATATGCTAGGACTCCCCTTAACAACACACTTCTTAACGCTTTGTTACAGGGATTGTCCTCCGGGCCCTCCAGAGAGGTATGCTCTGGGGCAACATAATGAACCCACTCCAACATTCCCATCTCCCTGGGCCTCCAAGCTCCTTCCCCTGAAGGATTCCAGGGAAATTGCAGTTACCTCAACCTCACTGACTGAAGTACACTTGCTGAGTTTAGATTCCAACTAAGCAGATCAGCTCAGCAGACAGTTTACCCCACTCCCAGGTCAAGCCAACTTAAGTCCAGAATCCTCCACGAGTATAGGAACATCAATAAATTCCTACCTTACATCTTCCTTGGTCTAAGTCTCTTGGAATCTATTCCTGTACATGCTCACTAGACTCCGGATAATACGAATTGGAAGGATTCTGTAACTGTTTGCATGTTTATCTTGCCCTTCTCCCTCTGGCCAAAACTAGGATCTAACTAGTTATGATCTTGAAGATAGTAACTAGTTATCCTAGGATCTAACTAGTTATAATCCTGAAGATAGTAACAGTGTGTGTGAGAGGAAGGATTCTTCCTCTGCCCCAGGTGAAGTCACCTGCCCCAGGTGAAGTCACTGAAAGATTTTATGCAAAAAGATGCTTTTCTCAGGGCTTCAGGATACAACCCTGCCACATTCATTTTTCTAGGGTTGCTAAAAGGAATATGTTTCCCAACTAAAGAAAGGGAGAGGCCGGGCACGGTGGCTCAAGCCTGTAATCCCAGCACTTTGGGAGGCCGAGGCGGGTGGATCACGAGGTCAAGAGATCGAGACCATCCTGGTCAACATGGTGAAACCCCGTCTCTAATAAAAATACAAAAAATTAGCTGGGCATGTTGGTGCGTGCCTGTAATCCCAGCTAGTCAGGAGGCTGAGGCAGGAGAATTGCTTGAACCTGGGAGGCGGAGGTTGCAGTGAGCCGAGATCGCGCCATTGCACTCCAGCCTGGGTAACAAGAGTGAAACTCTGTCTCAAAAAAAAAAAAAAAAAAAAGAAAGAAAGAAAGAAAGGGAGAAAATGTAAAAATAGAACCACTTTTGAGATCCATTTTGGTGTCAGGAATCTTTGAAATAATATTAATTATGATACTTCACATCCCAAAGTTGCCAGGCATGGTGCCTCATGCCTGTAATCCCGGGACTTTGGGAGGCCAAAGAGGGAGGATCACGGAGCACAGGAGTTCAAGACCAGCCTGGTGCAATATTGTGAGATCCCGTCTCCACAAAAAATCAAAAAATCACCTGGGCACAGTGGTGTGCCCCTGCCGTCCTAGGTACTTGGGAGGCTGAGGTGGGAAGATCATCTGAGCCTGAGACATCAAGTCTGCAGTGGGCAGAGATAGTGCCACTCCATGCCAGCCTGGTGACAGAGTGAGACCCTTTCTCAAAAATAAAAAACAAAACAAAACAAAACAAAAACAGAAAAAATCCCTGCAGTCCCCTTGTCCCCAAAAACATTGTCTTGGTTCAAGTCTACATTCACCCCCAGGGGAGCTCTCAATGTCGTGTGTCAAAAGTATTTATTTCTTGTACAGTGTGTACAGCATGTGTGAGAGGCCTCGGGACAGAGAAGTCCCACAGTGAGAGCAACAGGGCTCCTCTTCCTCCACTCCCCTCTGCAACAGGGACAGGGGCTCCCAGACCCTGGAATCTAGTGCCTGCCCTGGCCCAGCCCAGTGGCGTGCCTCTGAGCCTGGCTCCCCTGCCACCCTGCGGTGGGCCCCTCCTGCCAGAAACGCCTCTGAGCTGGTTCCTCCTGGTCAGATAAAGTTTCAGATGAATTCTCCTCTCAGTTCTACGGTCATCCATGTATATTTCGAATGCACTACTAGTCAAAAACAGGAAGAATAAATGGAATATGAATGAATAAGGAAGACATAGTCATAACTACGGTCAGCCTGCCTTAATTACCCATCATTCCATCTGCAAGCTCCATTCACCTGGTCAACAAGCCTCAAGTGCTTCAAATACCACTGTCAAAAAGGAAAGTCAGCCTTGAAAGTCATGTTTCTTTATTTCACGTTATTACACCCAGATAGGTTTCAATAAATTAGATCTCCAAAACTAAAGGCCATTAAAGTCACCTGTCACGTGGCGCTGGCAGTGAGCATTTCCGGAGCTGGAGACAGTCAAACAGGGGTGCTTGTCGCCGAAGATGAAGCAAAAGTAATTGCCATGTAAAGCCCAGGCTGGACCCGGCACTAACACCCATCAGTTTGGTTTCTTAAGTGAATCTGGTGCCCAGAACGCTTCTGGTTTTTTCTGCCCTGTGTGTGGTTCAGACTCTGGGACAGTCCGGTGGGTTCTCCCAAGATCACCAAACCCTTTAAGCGCATTAAATGCCCAACAAGGGGATAGGCTTGTGATCTCAACAGATGACGTCGGCATTCTCTGGTGCCAGTAGGGACAAGTGGATTAATGATTTTAAGTGGCCTTTGCCCATGACCCAGAGACCTCCAGTAAAGCCCTACTGTGCGGAGCATGAGAGCCTTTTATCCAAGTGCAGGGGAGGGCTTTGAGAAAAAGATGAGTCACTCCTGCAGGTTGATGCCAAGAGAGAAAGCTTTAGGAACAATCTCAGAACACAGCCTAGAGAGCGGGGGTTTTAGCTGAGTCAACAGAAGTAGACGTAGCCCGGGGAACATAAGCCCCAGGAATTCACAAAAATCCTGAGCAAGGTTTTGGTCTTCCAAATTCAAAGAAGTGTTCGTATCACTCTTATCTGGAGAGTAGCATCTGGGAGATCCTGCTGACATCTGCCCCTTACAGCATTTCCACTGAAACTGGCAAAGCCCTGGGGAACATGGCCCTGGAGCAGAGCTCTCGGAAGAAAAGTCCACTGAGAGCAGTTCCGCCTCCGACTGTGATGCTTCCCAGCCTGCGTGTAGCAGAGATTAATTGTCCCCACCCCATACCCATTCTCCACTTCTTTTAGAGCCATCAAACTAATTTTCACAGGGCAAGCAATGTGTTTAGATGAAAGACTATATTTCCAGCTTTTCTGGTAAGGAGGTGTGGCCTTGTGACCAAATTCTCACCGATGAAATGTAAGGAATGTGTGGTATGGGATTACCAGGAAAGCTGCTTTAAGTGGCCTAACTCAGGAGGAAGGAGGGCTCTTCTGCCCTTTCATCCTCCCAGTCCTCACCTCTTTGTTGTCTCTTTCTGCTGTCCTGGAACTTAGGTATACCGGTTGGAGCTCCAGCAGCCATTTTGTACCATGAAGTAACCCTGAGACTGAAAACCACAGGCTGAGGATGGCAGAGCAGAGGTATCTTTAATGACACTGTCCAGATTGCTTTTTTTTTTTTTTTTTTGGAGACAATGTCTCACTCTGTTGTTCTGTTGCCCAGGCTGGAGTGCAGTGGCACGATCTTGGCTCACTGCAACCTCTGCCTCCCAGGTTCAGGCAATTCTGCCTCAGCCTCCTGCAATTACAGGCGTGTGCCACCACGCCCAGCTAATTTTTGTATTTTTAGTAGAGACGAGGTTTCACCATGTTGGTTAGGCTGGTCTCAAACTCCTGACCTCGTGATCCACCTGTAATCCCCCAAAGTGCTGGGATTACAGGCGTGAGCCACCACGCCCGCCCCAGATTGTTTTTATGTAAAAGAGAAATACCAGCCTCCTTGATGTTCTTTAGAAATGATAAGCATATTCCATTCTCCCAGCTTTGCACTGGCTGATTCCTGTGCCTGGAGGACTCGGCCCCCAGATATCCAACTAGCCTGCTCCCCTCACCCCTTCAGCTCTCTAGCAGAAAAATACTATGGGATTAAGGCCTTCTCTGACCCCATTTGCAATAGCATCCACATCCCCAAACAGTCCATAAAACGTGTCACCATCTGTCATATCTTCTCCTTGTTTATTGCCTGTCTCTTTCCACTTGAACGTAAGCTTCACGTGGGCTATTCTGTTGATTGTCATCCCTCTTGTCCTTAGAATGGTGCTGAACACAGAGAAGGTGCCCAAAACAGATTTGCTGAGTGAATGAATGAATGAATGGTATGATCTGATGGATGTCCTCTGCCTCCTCATCCGTCCTCCCAGCCCCTGGTATAAGGCTCATCAGGCCCAGGGAAGGTCACTGGGCAATATCCCCTGCTGTACTCACCCAGGGACCAGGGCAGGACCAGGGCTGCCTGTGTGCAATTGACTGGGGCAGAAGAGACAGGGCACTCTCCTGACTCTCGTGGGCTTGTAAAAGGTGAAAAACGTGGTCCTTTTCTGCCATCATCACAGTTCGAGTGTGCACCTGTGACCCGGAGGCTCTTCCCAAAGCTTACAGTGTGGAGACACAGCCACAGGACCCAGGAACCAGGCCTGCAGCCCATATGAGCTCATCAGTTAGCCCCAAGTAATACTGGACACGGAGGCTGCTGTGATGGGCAATTTTATGTATTCATTTGCCTAGAAATATTATTTGCTGAAATATTATTCTACACGTTTCTGGGAAGGTATTTTTTTTAGGTGAAATTAACACTTAATCAGCGGAGTAAGGCAGACAACCCGCCACAGTGTAGCTGGGCCTCATCTAATAAGTCAAAGGCCTTCACCGAGCAATGACTGACTTCCCGGAGGAAGAGGGAATTCTGGCAGCTGACTGCTTCAGCCTCAAACTGCAGCTCTTCCTTGAGTCTCCAGCCAGCAACCCACCCGGCAGGTTTTAGACTTGCCACTCTCCAGAGTCCCCTAAGCCAATTTGCTCAAAATCAATCCATCAATGACTCTCTTTCTCCTCGGCCTATTTCTCCGGAGAACCCTGATGACTACAGGTCCCACTCTCTTTCCGTATTCTGTGGGATAACCGGAGGCCTGAGATGTCCAATAAGAAACCTCACAGAGACCCCAGACCTCACTAATAAGAGTAAGAAAACATATGAATGAATGTCTGGCAGGGAAGCTGTACACTCCTTGACCCACTGGATCAAATCACGATTGTAAGCAGATCAGCCTGCAGCTGTATGGGCCTCCGAGCACAATGGCTTTATTTGTCACTGAATGAAGGTGCGGGCCTACAGCCCGAGGAAGGACTCCAGTCACAGGGCTGGGAGGGGTGCTTGAGCCCTGTTTCCAGAAGAGCAGAGAAAAATCTCATGCTGGCAAGAGAGCGGGCAGCACTTTTCCGGCACACTGGCCAAAGCCGATGCGGTAACCGTCCCCCTGGCAGTGCCCTGGAACAGAGGAGGACAAGGATCAGTCACAAAGTTGCTGGGCTTTATCAACACCTAGGCAGCGGCAGTGCCCGTCAGCACACAGCTGGCCCGAGGCAGGAAGGTGCCATCAGAATCACACACACGTATCTTAAACACAAGAATAACCCTCCACAGAAGCTGGGCAGAGTCTCAGGCAGGGGCACGTGGACTAAAACCTGGGCCCACCCCACAGCCAGGGATCCTCAGAGGCACTGCAAGGCTCAGCAGCTGTCTTGTGGCTGACACGGTTTGGCTGTGTCCCCCACCAAGCCTCATTTTGAATTACAGCTCCCATAATTCCCATGTGTTGTGGGAGGACATGGTGGGAGATGATTGAATCATGGACAGTTTCCCCCATGCTGGGCTCGTGATAGCGAATAAGTCTCATGAGAGCTGATGTTTTTATAGGGGGTTTCCGCTTTTCGCTTGGCTCTCATTGTCTCTTGCCTGCCACCATGTAAGATGTGCCTTTCCCATGCCACCATGACAGTGAGGCCTCCCAGCCATGTGCAATGTGAGTCCATTAAACCTCTTTTTCTTTCTTTTTTTCTTTTTTTTAGACGGAATTTCGCTCTTGTTACCCAGGCTGGAGTGCAATGGCGTGATCTCGGCTCACCACAACCTCTGCTTCCTGGGTTCAAGCAATTCTCCTGCCTCAGCCCCCCGAGTAGCTGGGATTGCAGGCACGTGCCACCATGCCCAGCTAATTCTTGTATTTTTAATAGAGGCGGGGTTTCACCATGTTGACCAGGATGGTCTCGACCTCTTGACCTCGTGATCCACCCGCCTCAGCCTCCCAAAGTGATGGGATTACAGGCGTGAGCCACCGCGCCCAGCTAAACCTCTTTTTCTTTATAAATTACCCAGCCTTGGGTATGTCTTTATCAGCAGTGTGAAAATAGACTAATACAGTGGTCAACCCTTCCCACATGGGTCTGGGTTCAAATCCTAGCTCTGCCCATTAGCCTGAAGCCAGGATGCCTGAATTCAAAGCCTGGCTCCTCCATGTATTGGCTCTGTGACCATGGGTCCCTCCAGACCTCAGTTTCTTCATCTGTGCAATGGATCTAATGATAGTGCCCACCCCACAGTACTGCTGCAAGGATGGTGGAAGCAAACGCACAGGAAACTCTGAGAACAGTGTCCAGCCCATAATACTCTGTAAGTGTCAGCCATTGTAATCATTATGAGCTGGGTGGCAGGGGACAAGCTGTTTGACTTCAGAACTCGGCTCCCTTGCCGGGCGCGGTGGCTCAAGCCTGTAATCCCAGCACTTTGGGAGGCCGAGGCAGGTGGATCACGAGGTCGAGAGATCGAGACCATCCTGGTCAACATGGTGAAACCCCGTCTCTACTAAAAATACAAAAAACTAGCTGGCGTGGTGGCGCGTGCCTGTAATCCCAGCTACTCAGGAGGCTGAGGCAGGAGAATTGCCTGAACCCAGGAGGCGGAGGTTGCGGTGAGCCAAGATGGCGCCATTGCACTCCAGCCTGGGTAACAAGAGCGAAACAACTCTGTCTCAAAAAAAAAAAAAAACTCAGCTCCCTCATCTACAAACAAGAAAAGCAATGCTTATCTCTCAAGGCTGTAAGGATTAGACTAAATATTTGGGTGGAATTCCCAGCACATCTCAGAAACATTAGCTGCATTCATTTAATTCCATTTTAACAAGGCTGATGGAAAAGCAGAGAAAAGCCCGTGTCTTCCTTTGAGAGGCGTCCACTTAGAGGGAGTGCCAGGTCTGGATTAGAGATACAGAGAAAAGCCTACAAAGTGCTGCATGAGGAGCAGGGAGGGAAAGGGGGCAGGAAGGGGGACATCTGAGCTGGGCCTTGACGGGTAGCTACGAGTTCGTTAGGAAACACACAGGCATTCCAGACAGAGGGAAGGGCATGTTCAAAGGCCCGGAGGTTCAGCCGTGAGATACATTTGTCACATCCAAGGACAGTGAGGCTGTCCTTTGGGGTTCCCTAAGAAGTCAGGTTACCAAGGGCTCTGAGAAGCCATGCTAAGGGGTTTGAACGTCATTCTAAAGGCAATGAGGTGACACAGAGGAGTTTTCAGCAACTGTCACTTATCAGAATCAAATCTATACAGAGGTCCCTCTGACACCTGGACTGAATTGCTTCTCAAGGGCCCCAGGCCACGTGAAAGCCAGAAGAGGCAGTGCCAGGGTACCGCTAAGGCACCAGGCCCAGGATGGAGGCAAACGCCACTTCTGAGGATGCCCCTGACCCTGAGTTACAAAAACGCACCCCTTCACCTGCTAGAAGCAAGCCCAAAACCTGGAGCTGTGCCTCCTGCTACCCAACGTGAAGAGGAGCAATGAAGCATTACAAGATCCCAGAAGCCAAGAGAAAGAAATCCGAGCACAGTGCGGAGAAGCTAATGGCCATCTGGACCCAGACACCAAGGGTGGACCTATGCGATGGGGTCAGCGACATCTTCCACGAGCCATCCCGGCCCAAAAGGGTACAGCTTCCCTGAGGTGTCCTCATGGCTGTCCCTGCTCAGCAGCCGCTCACCCAGCCTGTCTCCTCTGAACAGGCCTCCCAGCTCAGGCCGCTCTGACCACTCTCCTTCTCTGGAAAGGCAGCAGCTTGAAAACTTCGGTGGCATCCCCAGAAGTTTTGGTCCTGGGGCCTCTCCCCCTCCCTGGTACCAGCACAGGCGAGCCAGCCTCCCCAGCTGGATGCACCCCAAGACCCACATGCTGACAACCCACAGGGACACCCTTTGTTGAGAGCGACACCCCCGCCTATTCTGTTGCTCAGTTTCATTATTTTCCTGTCAAGTCACTTTTCCATCTCAATGCTCAGAAACAGCCACACCACTGGTGGGGGAAAAAAAAAAAAAGCCTATTAAAGTAAAACTGGCTCCCGGCAGAAATTTATTAAACATCCATCAAAACAACTAACTCAGAACTGCGGCATTTTTAAAGAGCCTTCTCCCGACCATGGCCCTGAAGGAGAAGGGTCATCACTTCTACACCCTGGGACCCCTGCCAGCCTTGCCCAGGAATTCCGTACCAGGCAAGGGAAGCGATAACGCTGGGTAGAGAAACGGGAATAAACAGAGACCCAGGAAGCCCAGGGGGACGACACACCACTGAGAGACCTGCAGGGAAAGAAACGGAAGACTTTGGCTCAGATGTTGTTTCCCAATAATGGCAGATACCAAGAAAGAAGCCACAACCAACCACAGCTATCAGCACATCAAAGATCTGAAGGAGAGTGAGAAGCGCACGTGTGCAGCCGTGCAGAGCCGCCAGTGCAAGCGCCTGCAAGAACTCACTCTTGCAAGTTGCAAACTGAACACCAGATGGGGCTTGTGAGCGAGACTAGGAGATGGATGAGTTACACCACGACCATCAGAGATTTTGCTGATGTTGATTGGTTTGTTTACTTCCCCTGTTCCCTTGCTGAACATTTTGTGGTTTTTTGGACTCAGAAATCAGAATTTCATTGCGCCATTTAAAGAGGCAAGAGGACACAAGAGTTCAGAGCACAGCTCCTGGAGCCCAGCTGCCTGGGTTCAAACCCTGGCTCCATCCTTTATCGCCTGTGAGATCCTGGGTAAGTATGCACCTTTCTGGGCCTCAGTTTCCACATCTGAAAAATAGAGATAATAAAAGTAGCTGCCTTGTTTGGAATAGAAAATGTATTGCTGGGCACGGTGGCTCACACCTGTAATCCCAGCACTTTGGGAGGCTGAGGTGGGCAGATCACCTGAGGTCAGGAGTTCGAGAACAACCTGGCCAACATGGTAAAACCCCATCTCTACAAAAAAAATACAAAAATTAGCTGGGCGTGGTGGTGCTTGCCTGTAATCCCAGCTACTTGGGAGGCTGAGGCAGGAGAATCACTTGAACTCAAGAGTTCAGTGAAGGTTGCAGTGAGCCAAGATCGCGCCACTGCACTCCAGCCCTGACGACAGCGTGAGACTCTGTCTCGAAAAAAAAGAGAGGAAATGTACCGCAGGTATCTGGTCTGTGGCAAATGCTGCTGTGTTGGCTAGGGCAGCACTTCTGAATGTTCCATCGCGTTTACAGTGGTTAGAAATTGATAGGGGAGCCGGGCACGGTGGCTCAAGCCTGTAATCCCAGCACTTTGGGAGGCCGAGGCGGGTGGATCACGAGGTCAAGAGATCGAGACCATCCTGGTCAACATGGTGAAACCCCGTCTCTACTAAAGATACAAAAAATTAGCTGGGCATGGTGGCGCGTGCCTGTAATCCCAGCTACTCAGGAGGCTGAGGCAGGAGAATCGCCTGAACCCAGGAGGCGGAGGTTGCGGTGAGCCGAGATCGCGCCATTGCACTCCAGCCTGGGTAACAAGAGCAAAACTCCGTCTCAAAAAAAAGAAATTGATAGGGGAAATGAACATCCGTGATGAGAAAGCAGGGAAATGAGAGGCAGCCATAAGGCTAGTACAGTCGGAGAAGGAAAAGAAAAGCCAGGAAGAGCCGAAGAAACGACGTGTGGCTTTCAAGCAAGAAAGCAGCCCAGCAGGACCATGCGCCCGGAGAGGTCATGGAACGCGGGCGGCTCTCAGGAAACCTTTGCACAAGGTAACACAGCTAACACGCCGCCTCCACCTACCCGCTCCTCTGCTTGTCCCCTCCCTTCCCCCGTAAACACACAGCCCAAATTTCAGCAATATGCACTCACTTGAGAAATTCTTTTTTTTCTTTGTATGAATACATAATGTATGCCTCTCCTCTTAGCAAATTATAATTCTTCTTTCTTGGTTCCAGGGGATTTCGCCCATCTGTTCCCATTTCCCTCTCCACTTGCCAACATGTGCTTCCTCAGAGCCAAGGAACTGCCTTTCCCTGAATTCTTCTGCTGGCCTCCAAAAATCCTTCGGAGCAAGGCATTGTGGACACAAACAAACGTGGAAATGACTCTCAGGGCGTCTTGGCTTCTTTCTCCTGCCTTCTCTGACTCAAATGTCAAGAACACGTGGCCAGGCACGGTGGCTCAAGCCTGTAATCCCAGCACTTTGGGAGGCCAAGGCGGGTGGATCACGAGGTCAAGAGATCGAGACCATCCTGGTCAACACGGTGAAACCCCGTCTCTACTAAAAATACAAAAAAATTAGCTGGGCATGGTGGCAAGTGCCTGTAATCCCAGCTACTCAGGAGGCTGAGGCAGGAGAATTGCCTGAACCCAGGAGGCGGAGGTTGCGGTGAGCCAAGATCGCGCCATTGCACTCCAGCCTGGGCAACAAGAGCGAAACTCTGTCTCAAAAAAAAAAAAAAATGAAATAAGGAAGGTGGACATGCCTACAATATGGCTGGCCCCTAGCAGAGATTCGGTAAATATTGTCAAATTCGAATTAGAGAGGTATAATTAGGCTGCAGAAATGGGAGCAAAATGGGTTTTTGCCTAATAATGGGTATCATATGCTGTTTTGAGCTCTTCCTGCCTCTTCTCTACCAAATCCACTTGATTCAATGAACTAACCAACAGCCACACTGAGCATGCTCCACGTGGCTGCTACTTGGACTGAACTTTGCTCTCCAAGGGTTCTGCAGTGGACGAATGTATAGTCCCCAAAGACATCAGAACCTAAATCCCTAGGACCTGTGAATGTTGCCTTATATGGTACATTTTTTGGAGATGTGATTAAGTTAGAATGTTAAAATGAGGAGACTTCTAGGTGAGTCCCAAATACTGTCACGTGTGTGTTATAAGAGAGAGGCAAAGGAGATGAGGCAGATGTGACCATGGGGGCAGAGATCCGTGTGATGTGACCACAAGCCATAGAGGCTTCCACCAGAAGCTGGGAGAGGCAAGGAGCAGACCCTTCCCAGAATTTCCAGGAGCGCGGCACTGCCAGCACGTGTGGTTTGAACTTACACCTTACAGAGCTGTGAGAGAATACGTTTTGGTTGTTTTAAGCCACAAAGTTTGCAGTATTATGTTACTGCAGCCACAGGAAACTAACACAAGCTTTTAGTTAAGCATGGAAACTGACACGTTTTAATCACAATTAATCAGAATTCTGTGTCTTCCATGAATTGCTAGCAGAGAGGACAGAGAGATTGATTCTACCTGAGCAAGCAGAGAAGGCAACATTTGGGCTGAGCCAGCATATATCCGAAGGTTTGCAGGCAATGAGAAAAGCAGCTCCCTTATCACAGAGGGTTACGTATTAGAACAGAACTGAGTGCGTAGAGCAGATTCAGAGAGGAGGATATTGACCTGATGAAACAGGATCTGTGAGAAGACCTTGAGCAGAAGAGCAATGGGAAAAGCAAACATGAAGCCTCATTCTTCAGGCACCATGAGCAGGATGGATTGTAGAGGCCTGGTGCAAAAGCTCCTCCAGGATTCCAGGCCTGGAAGGGTGGTGCTGTGGAGTGGGTCCGCGGCACAGAGACGGCAGGGCATTTTCCAACAATGCCCGATAGTGCTGATGAAATGGGTGCCAGTTTCCAGCCCACAGATTGTCAGCCGTACCAAGACAGTCAAGGAAGGAGGGGCACGGGTGACCATCAGGCATCCCGAGGGAAATGTGTGGTCAGCGGGTGGAGAGCAGGACACGGAGTGTTGAGTGCAGAAGCCAGGCACCACCTCGCCCTGGGGGGCTGCTCCGTGGGCCACCAGGTGCCGCTGATTCCTGCCCTTCATGTAGGGATCCCATTAAGAAGGGACCAGGCTGGGTGCAGTGGCTCACCCCTGTAATCCCAACTCTTTCAGATGCCGAGGTGGGCAGATCACAAGGTCACGAGATCGAGACCACCCTGGCCAACAAGATGAAACCCCATCTCTACTAAAAATACAAAAATTAGCTGGGTGTGGTGGCACGCGACTGTAGTCTCAGCTACTTGGGAGGCTGAGGCAGGAGAATCACTTGAACCCAGGAGGCGGAGGTTGCAGTGGGCCAAGATCCCCCCACTGCACTCCAGCCGGGGCGACAGAGTGAGACTCTGTCTAAAAAAAAAAAGAAGAAGAAGGGGTCAAGAGGCACATCCTTCTAAAAACTGGGTTCTGGAAAAAACAGCAATGGCAATAAAGATGACTATGAAAAGCTGACCATCATCACCATTTTTAAGCACTCACAAGGTAACAAGCCCTCTGATAAGTGCTTTAGACACTATCAAAGGTGTTAAACACGGAGGTTCTGAAGATAAACTGCCTGGAGGGGAAACAGATGTCATTATTTATTGGCTACAAGATCCTGGGCAAGTCATTTAACCCCACTATGCCTTCGCTTTCTCATCTGTGAAACGGTACAGTCATGACGACACTGGAACATAAACCCAGAAGAGCAGACTTCATTTGTCTTTTTCATCACCAGAACTCCAGGATGGGACTCAGTGTAGGCACTCAATAAATGTCTACTAAGGGAACGAACGAGTTCATTTCATCTTTACAACAATGCTGTGAGGTTAACTATTGCATTTGCTCCATTTTAAAGATAAGGAAGGCCAGGTGTGGTGGCTCACATCTATAGTCCCGGCACTTTGGGAGGCCGAGGTGGACAGATCACAAGGTCAGGAGTTCGAAACCAGCCTGGTCAACATGGTGAAACCCCACCTCTACTAAAAACACAAAAATTAGCCTGGATGTACTAGGAAACTATTACAAGCTCTTAGTTAAGCAGGGAAGCTGACATATACACAATTAGCAGGCCTGTCATCGCAGCCACTTGGGAGGCTGAGGCCAGGAGAATCGCTTGAACCTGGGAAGCAGAGGTTGCAGTGAGCCAAGATGGTGCCACTGCACTCCAGACTGTGTGACAGAGCAAGACTCCATCTTGAAAAAAAAAAATTAAAGATGAGGAAAGCTGAGACTCAGAAAGGTTAAATAACTTAATGAAGGTCACGCAGCTGGCGGGGCACCTGGGAGTTCAACTTGACTCTTTCCCAACCATTATGGTGCCCTTCCCCTCTATTAGGAAAATGTGGTAAGCAGAATTCCACTCCCCGCCCACCCCACCGCCCCGCCATCCCCAGAAGACTTAAAAGGCACCCTCACCTCCTTCGAATGGGCTGCTGAGAAGCCTCAGTCACTAACTCAGCTGAACCTTCCTTGATCCTAGTCATAGGCCACTGAGTTTCTGCACAGGGGGTTTGCTGCAAAGTCGAGACCCTGAGGAACCTGCCAGTATTTTATAACTTTGCTCAGAGAGCAGGGAGACCAAGCAGAATGTCTACAGAATTTCTGGCCTGGGGAGACTCACTCTTGACGTCCCGGGTCGCCATGGCTGTGGGGAAGCACAGAACAAGCAGACAGAGACTCTGGGAGGCAGAGTGACGATGCGTTAGGACAGATGGCTTTGTGGCCAGGTGGGAGCGCTCCACGGCTAGAACAAGTGCACGGCGGGCGCAGAGGAAGCCGAGCCGTGAGGTTTGGCAGCCCTCACCTGTTATGATGACTTCATCCCCGTCCAGCAGAAACTTCCTGGTCTGTCCGTTCCCCAGCTCTATGGGCTTCGTTCCCCTCCATGACAGTTCCAACATGGAGCCGAAGCTTTCTGGCTCCTTCATCACAGGAAAGGGAAGAAGGGGTAACATGAATGTATGCCTTGGCTCTGGCATGGACCCTGCTCAGCAAGACCTGAGAGTCCCCAGCAGTGGCAGGGGGACCGCATGCACCTCAGAGACCCTGCCTCGGCCTTGGTGGGTCACTGCAGAGGTGCCCTCGAGACTTGGAACTCTGCCCGTTCTTCCTGCGGGGACAGCCTGTTCTTCCTTCACTAGAGACATCGCTTGTTTAGGAATCAGTGAATCCCCGATCAGAGTGCCCAGTGCCTCCTGCAGCGCCCACCCCACCCCCGCTGTGGAGGCTGCAGTTTGCCCAGAGCCCATGATCCTTAATACCCTCCCGTCAGGAAGCCACAGCTTTGGGAGCAACAGGGCTCAGCCAGGCCCCCTGGGCAGTGACGGGCACATCTCTGAAGGTTCTGCGACTCCCGCAGACTTACAGGGGGACGGGTGGGTGGGAAGGGGCACAGCTGCATGGCCACCTCACCCTGGGAGGGTACAGTGTGACATGGTGACAACCAAGACACAACGGCCATCTCCTGACTCCTCCCCAGGTGTCACTGCAATGCTCCCCATGGAGGCACAGACCCAGGCTGCCGCTCTCGCACCATCTCTTTAGGTTTGAATTTGGATGAGAAGCCCCTCCTGCACCCAGAGAGGAAGGCTATGAGGAAGACAGAGTTGTGTGCCACGCCCACCTCAGGCCTGAAACCCCTTCTTGAGGGTGAGCTGAGGACCCTCGGGGCTACATGGGGAGCAGGCGTGCTCTGCGTGGGCAGCCCTCAGTGCAGATGGGTACTCACCGGCCCGCTGATGGTCCCAGAAGCCAGGAGGTCCCCCGGCCGCAGGTTGCAAGCCATTGACAGAGTGGTGAGTGAGCTGCTGCAGCATCGTCCAGTACATGTACTGCGGGCGATGGATACGAGGTGGAATGAGCAGCTGCAGGCTCAGCCCCGCACCCCGGAGTCAGCTCAGCCCCGCACCCTGGAGCAGCTCAGCCCCGCACCCCGGAGTCAGCTCAGCCCCGCACCCCGGAGGCAGCTAGGCACAGCCCGCCCTGCTCACGACAGCCTTCCTTGGCCTTTCCCTGGTCCCCAGCTCCCCCAGCCAGGTCTCTTCAGTCCCTGAGAGCAAGGGCACGCTGTCCTGGAGAGCTGCCCAGAGGCCTCCCCCAAGCTCTGCCATCTCCATCACCAGCTCCGACCTCCAGCTCTTCCGCTACCTCAAGCCTGCGCGACCACCTCCTCCAAGCAGCATCCCCTCAGGGCTGACCTCGCTGCTCAGTCCCTCAGCCCTGCAGCATGCCCGTGTGTCCAACACTGCACTGGCCCTGGGAACGCCCTCCAGTCCCGCATGGGCTTCTCATGAGCAAAGGCCTCACTCCCACTCTCCCATTCCAGGCCTTGGCGTGGACATGGGGCAATGGAGCTGAATGATTCAAACATGGTATCAGGGCCGGCCGAGGATCGAGGGAGAACTACGGAGGTCAGGCTGTGGGCAGAGGAGACCAAGGAGATGCCCACAGAGATGCTCAGAGGCAAGGCACGCCCACGCCTGCCCCAGGCCACAGCTTCTCACACCCACATTCCTACAGCCACAACATCTCGGCATAGGAAACCCGAGAGATGGATTCTTGTCCACAAGTTCCCGTAAGGAGACCCCTTTATTTCTTCTTACTAGCCTGAGGAACCCAGAATAATATTACAGTAGATGGGAAACTAGGAGGACTGGGAATACAGTGATTCGGGAGATATTCAAAAGATCAGGAAACAAATGAATAATAAACAGATGACCAACATGCCCAGCTCATGAGTCAGGAGGGAAATGCAGACCGAAGTCACTATCCCCGGCGTGGTTCGAAGGAAAAGGCAAACACCCCCAGAGCTGACGAGGATGAGGAGCAGCCAAAACGCTCACACGCTGCTAGCGGGAGTACAGACTGGTAGAACCACTTCAGAAAACTGTCTGGAAGCGCTACTGGGCTGAATCCACGTGTACACGATGACCAGCTAGTCTGCTGCTGGACATACACTCAACAGAAATGTGCATATATGTGCACAAAAACGTGTGCACTAAAACGTTCACGGCAACTCTATGATAGGCCAAAAAAATGGAGACAGCCAAATGTCCATCCACTGTGGAATTGACGTGACTTAAAAAATAAGTCAATTGCGGAATATTTATCCAGTGCAACACTATAAGGCAAGGAGAAAAATGGGCTATCACTAGCAAAGGGCAACAGGGTCGAATCTCAGAAATACAACACTCAAACGAGCCAGTAGAAAAGAATACATGGTACTGTAGGATTCCTGTTTCTACAAAACTGAAAAATAGAAAAAAAAAATTAATGTATGGAAATAGAGGTCAGGAGAGGAGTGACCTTTGCCGGAGGAAGTGAAAAGTGACCTGGAGGGGCCCAGGGGGCTGCTGAGGTGCTGGAAATTTCCTGTTTCTGAGCTGGGTGCTGGCTGCACAGGCACGTTCATTTTAGGAAAACCCCTCAAGCTGTACATGTATAATATATACTTTTTAAATGTTTGTTTTCTGAAATAGGGTCTGGCTCGGTCATACATGCTGGATTTCAGTGGCGTGATCACAGCTCATTGCAGCCTCGACTTCCTGGGCTTAAGCAATCCTCCAGCCTCAGTCCTCCCAAGCAGCTGGGACCACAGGTGCATGCTACCACACCTGGCTGATTTTTTAATTTTTTTGCAGAGACAAGGTCTCATTATGGTGCCCAGGCTGGTCTCAAACTCCTAGGCTTAAGTGATCCTCCCACCTCGGCTTCCCAAAGTGCTGGGAGTACAGTAATGTGTGCATTTTTTATCAATGTGTATTGTGCTTCAGTTAAAAGTTCACTTAAAAAATAAGTCACCAGCACTTTGGGAGGCGGAGGCGGGTGGATCACGAGGTCAAGAGATCGAGACCATCCTGGTCAACATGGTGAAACCCCGTCTTTACTAAAAATACAAAAATTAGCTGGGCATGGTGGCACGTGCCTGTAATCCCAGCTACTCGGGAGGCTGAGACAGGAGAATTGCCTGAACCCAGGAGGCAGAAGTTGCGGTGAGCCAAGATCGCGCCATTGTGCTCCAGCCTGGGTAACAAGAGCGAAACTGTCTCAAAAAATAAATAAATAAATAAGTCACTCTCCTGAATACAGCCCCTGGCAGGACAGGATAAACCAGGGACTAGACCTATACAGAAACACCTATTGTCCCCCGAGAATACCACTGGCCACATTTATGCAGCCTCTATCTTGAGAGAACTCTGAAAGAGACAGGCCGTGGAAGCTCCAGGCCCACAGGCTGAACCATCATCACATCCCAAAAGGAATGCTCTCCTCCTGTTCCTGACAGGAAGAAAAGTCTCTCTTCCCCTCAATTCTAAGAAGCAGTCTGATCAGTGTCAAAACTCACCTTAAAATTGGACTTGCATATGGTAGCCGCCTGGCTCATTCCTTCTCCTGATGGAAAGAGAAGCAATATCAATGAAGACTTAATTCCATTCATCAGGGAGGAAAATAAAAAAAGAATGGTTCTGTGGCTGAAGCTTCCCATTGTCCAACGTGATTTCACTTAGAGTCCGTGAAACAATCAGCTCCCAGGACATCAGAACCGGGATGTCCAGGGTTGGCCAATGCATGAAAGGAGGTATCACCTCCTCCTCCCACGCCCACAGCAGGCAGCATTAACTGATCACAGCACACATTTGCTCTGGGTCCAGATGCAGCCTCATAATCCTTCTTAACGCAATGATCCCAGCACCCACAGATCCACTGGAGACAAGTGTACCATTTGGAGGCTACTTGTGATCTTTGATCGAGGATAATCTGCTGTCCCCTCAGGAGCCCTCCGGATAGCTGGACCATCTGTCCCCCGCCATGCTCCTCCAGAGATGAGCAGCGTGCCACTTCACAATGTACAAAACGATGTTTACTAAACACCTACTACACGCTCACAAGGTACCGGGCTGTCGCTGTTCCACTTCTGAACAGCGCTAAGAAGTAGAAAGCTCTTCCACTTCCTCAAAACCTGGCTTCTTCCCTGGATCCTAACTTCCCCTCTGAGGTGGCACAGAACAGGTGTGCTCTTCAGCCATGCAAGGTCTGGGTCCCCCAAGCCTGCTCCTCCCCAGACCCTTCTGCCCAGATCCCATCTCAGGACATCAGAACTGTACGTGACTACATCTCCGGACACCGCGCTTTCTGTCTCATCTAGTCCTTTCTCCACCAGTGCCCTCCCCAGGTGGGTTCACCTCTAGGCAACCAGAAAGAAATATCTAGAATGAAACCAGACAGAAAGTACACTCCAAGCACGCACTATGGGTGGCAGGAGGCTAGCCTAGAACTCGTGACACTGGGATGAGTCCCAGCCCTGCCATCAGCCAGATAGGTGGCTCAGGTGAATCCTTTTCCTCTCTGAGCCTCAGTTTCCCGACCTGGAATGTGAAAGAGAGGCTCAGCACGGCTTCCCAGAGGGCCCTGGGCAGCCAGGAGGCTCTTCCTGGCAGCCCTCTGTGGAGCATCCTGCTCCCACGGCGACAGCTCCGTGCTCTGGCAGGGTACTGAGCCTCCTACCAGGAACTGCCTCATGAAGGGCTGAGACCCTGGAACTGGCAATGACACAGACATGGCAGAGCCTGGAGTGTGCAGATGGAAGAAAGGAATGGAGCTGAAAGGAGGCGTGGCCAAGTGTGGCTAGGACCCTCCCTACCTGAGGGCCCTCGTGGGACTGGAAGTGACACCTGACTCTTCCTAGGTATAGACCCTGCCCTACACCTTTACAGGAATTGACATGTTTGGCCCTCACGATGCACCGTGACATCCAGGCCGTTACGATCCCATTTCACAGATGACAAACGAGGACACAGACAGGCTGGGCAACTTGCCCAAAGTCCCACAGCTGAGCAGCAGTCACGGCCTGCAGAGCCAGTCTCTTTATCACCAATGCCCTGCGGGGCTGTTCGAGGAGCTGGGCTGAATAGCCACAGGGAGAGGTGGGCCCTGTCTCTCTCAGGGCTGGCCCAGGGAGGGGATCGGGGGCCTGTCTGCAAGGCTCTTGGGTTGGCCCAGGGTGGGAATCTGAGGCCTTGTGCGCGGGCTCTGTGTGGCCCCAGGGACTCAGCCAAGCCTCCTGCGAGCAGACCCACAAGGACAGGCTTTCAAAAAGGCACTCACTGAAACTGACCCTCACAGGAGTGAGGGTCAGCGGGGGTATGTGAGCAGGGGCCAGGCAGCCCCTGGGGAGGCTGGAGAGGGGGTTGATGTGGAAGATGGAGGTCGTGCACTCCCGCTTCCAGCCCTATCATTGAGTGCCGAGTGAGATGCCAACGCCCTGTGGACCCAGTGAGCACAAGGGCATCCCCTCCCTTCCTCTTTCCTTTAGAAGAGCCATGCAGTCTCCAGGGCTGTAGCATGTGCCCCAACCCGTGCCAAAGCTCAGGAGCCTTCAGGTCAAGGCACACGGACACACATGCCCTCAGAGCTCCTGGTCACATCAATCCTCCCACGACATACCTTTCAGGGCAACAGAGAGGTTGATGTCAAATGTGTAGGGCTGGTCATGGCAGAGATACGGCAAGGGCCTGGGGTCCTGGGAGGGCAAAGCACAGCACAGAGGTCACTGGCAGGTGGGCTGAGCTCACCCAAGCTGGGCCCCAGACCAGCCGGGTCCCCCAGGCAGAGGGTCTGAGACAGCAGGAGCGTTCCGTCTCCAGGGACCCAGCGCTGCGTCCCTTAACAGCAGTGAGTGGATCACACTGTGGGGCTCCAGGAAAAGCAGCCATGGAAGGGGCATCACCAGGTCAAAGGTCACAGGAGTCAAACCAGAGATGTCCCTAAAAGCCACTCGAAGGCAGATTAAGGGAAGGTGGGCGGCAGATGGACCGAGATGGGGAACGAAGCGCGGCCTGTGAGGAAAGGCAGGGGTCTGAAAGGGCATCGTAGGGACCCTGGAAGGCAGAGGGGTCACAGCAGAGGCGGGCAGCCCCGGCTGGTGCTGGAGCCAGCTAGGAGGTGGGCAGCTTGGATGGCTGGGCCAGAGCGTCTGCCCGTCGGCCAAAAGCAGTGTTTTCCAAAGCATGGTACATGAGTCACAGTGGGACATGAGATCGTTTTTGGTGATTTTAATTGTTATGAAATGGTGCAGCTAGTGATGCCAGTAGGAATTCAAAGCTTCCTTCTTAATATATGATTAAGTGTTAAGCTGGGAGCTACTCTGAAGAAAAATGTTAAGTAAATAATAGTTCAGAAGGGGTAACAGTAGTGATGCTTGGACATAAATGGTGTTCGGGAAGACGGCCACGGAGGAAGGGGAGCCCAGACATCACAGCCAGGGCAAAGCCCGGTGACCAGACCCCGAAGAGGGCAGATGACTGGAGGACAAGCAGGGTGAGGCTGTGGCCTTGCAGCCCCAGGGAGACTAGAAAGACCACTGCTGGCTACAGAGAAAATCAAGTCCTGGGGGCTGAAAACGCCCGGCGGGGGGCAGGGGTGCTGAAGTGAGGAGAGAGTAAGGGGCGAGCATGAAAGCCCTGCAGGACGCCGCTGGAACCGGCTCGCAGGGGAAGACCTCAGGTTGTTTGTAGCTCAGCAAATAGGAGATGGCCCCAGAGGCCAAGGAGCAGGGGAGGGCAGCGTGGGTGCGGGCGCTGTCCCAGGTGGTGGGAGAGGCCCCCAGCACGTGGGTGCGGAGCCGCTCAAGGGAGGACGTGCACATGGCGGGGAGCTCGGCCTGGATCCCCACAAAGAGGTCAGAATTGGAGAGGGGCATCGTGGGGACCCAGAGACACTGGAGGACGAGGACAGGTCACATGCCAGAAGCCAAGGGGTGAGGGAACGTCAACAAGAAGGGCCACAGGAAGTCCACGCTGAAGGGGACACAAGGTCATGGCACTGGCTATCGGGACCCAGGTGACTCTGGCCAGGTGTTGCCAGAGATGGAGTGGGGCAGACTGCAACAGGCTGAGAAGGGAGGATTGAGACGGGGCCCAGTGGTGCCAGGGACGCCCTCGCTGCGGGCTCCAAAGTGCATTCTAAGAGTTGGGCTCCGGGCGGCGCCATTTGCACACAGCACGATTTGATGGCAGCCCTGGGAGGCTGTGCAATGCTGGTTCCTGCCAGGACTCTTTCTCCACCCGCTGGCCAGCTCCCCTGGTGTTGGAAGATTCTCGAGGTTACGAAATTCTGTGTTTCCTCCAAGAACCGTGCCAGGGTCGGGGAAACCATAAAGGAGAATGGTGCCATGGCTGCCTGGAGGTAACTGTGGCTAGGGAACTCCCCGGCACTCTGCTGTGGGCATGCCGTGGGCACAGAGCTTCCCTCCCGATGCAGGTGTGCATGCCTGGCATGTCCACTCAGTGGGCACGCAGCCTCGGAGGCAGCAGGGCTGGATTTGGAGGCTTCCTCAGAGAGTGTGCTTACCTGCTCTGGGTTAGGCACAACAAAGGGCATGAGAGCATCCATGGGCACCACCCACGGAGAGATGGTGGTCCCAAAACTCTTCCCAAGGAATGGCCCAAGAGGGACATACTCCCACTTCTGAATGTCTCGTGCTGCAGAAGAAGGGCAGACGCGGGACTTACAAAGGCTGATCAGGGCCTCTTCCAAGACCCTCCTCCTGCCCTTGACCAAGGAGCGAAGCACCCAGCACAGCCCTCTCCACAAAGCTCAGCCCAGCCAGGCTGCCCCCGGACCAAGGGGCGAGATCATTCAACACCAAGGACAGAGGTCCTTTGAGGACACTGTGCCAGGTTACAGCAAACAGAAGGATGACCAAATGGCGATCCTTTGCAACACATGGGAGGAAGATGGCACCATAAGTCCCAGGAAGTGGCGGGAAAACTCATCTCCAGACTATGAGAGAGACAATTCCTGGAGCTTACGGTGCCACCTTCCCTCGACGTGCGGCAAAGGGCTGAGAGCTCAGGCTGAGACGTTGGACTGTTTTGCTTCAAATCGTAGTTCAAGAACTAATTCAAATCTCTCTGTGCCTCAGTTTCTCATCTGTAAAATGAGAATGATAATACGGCACATACCATGTAGGACCAGCAGGAGGACAGATGTCGGGTGTTAAGCACAGGGCCTGAGCCGTAAGTGCTCAGTAAATATTAGTTACGGTGTCGGCCACGTCCCTCTCCACTCATGAGGAGACTGGAGCTCGGAGGGGTTAAGTGAATGGCCTGAGTTCTCAGAGCTGGAAGTCTGCCTGATACCCAAACCCACGCTCTCAGTCACCGCGTCACCTGCCACGTTGGACCAGCGCCACATCTTTGGCTGCTATGAAACTGTCCCACATCCCCAGCCTCCTCCCGCCCGTCTCCACAGGAGCAGAGGGCCAGTGATTACCACTCCAGTCGTTCATCAGGACCATTCCAAAAATGTGCTCGTGGGCCTTGGAAATGGGGATCGGCTCTCCCAGTCTGTTTCCAGGGCCTACAAAAAAAGCCTGACATGGAGGAGAGTTCATTAGAATCTGGAGCTGATCAGCCGTCCAGGTCACATGTCACCTAGAGAGCAAAGGTCAGGTATTTCCACACTCCAGCCGTGAACCAGGACGGCCACAGTGGCCTGGCGTGAATCCACTGTGTTTCTAAGTCAGAGGTCAGGTGGCCACCTCAGGAAAGCAGCGTGCAGCGGTGTGCCCTGTCCCACCCCCGGCCCTCCCTCCAGGTCCCTGAGCTCCACAGCGGCCTCCCCTCCTTCCTTCAGTGTGTCCCAGGCCACTCTGCTCTTTCCTCTCCGTCCCTTACCGGCTTTGCCTTTGAAGACCTGACAGCTACGTGGGGCTGGTGAAACTGAAACGATCAGAGTTTGTATTCGTGTTATGAAAAACCAGGCCAGGCACTGTGGCTCAAGTCTGTAATCTCAGCACTTTGGGAGGCTGATGTGAGAGGATCACTTGAGCCTAGGAGTTCGAGACCAGCCTGAGCAACACAGTGAGACCCCACCTCCACAAAAAATAAACACAATTAGCCAGGCACTTGGCTGCAGTCCCAGCTACTTGGGAGGCTTACGTGGGAGGACTGCTTGCCAGGGAGGTCATGGCTGCACTCCAGCCTAGGTGACAGAGCGAGACCCTGTCTCAAAAAATACAAAATAATAAAAAATACAAATTTTAAAAATGAAAATCCAAAAGACTGCCTCCTTAATGCAGCAAATAGTGCCAGACAGAGCACAGCCCACAGCCTCTAACCCCAATCCGTAACCCCACAGCCTCTCAGGAATACAGCACCAACACGATGCCCATGAACGAACAGACTAGCCAGACACCATTCAAAAGAAGAAACTGGCCGGGCGCGGTGGCTCACGCCTGTAATCCCAGCACTTTGGGAGGCCGAGGCTGGTGGATCACGAGGTCAAGAGATCGAGACCATCCTGGTCAACATGGTGAAACCCCGTCTCTACTAAAAATACAAAAAATTAGCTGGGCATGGTGGCACGTGCCTGTAATCCCAGCTACTCAGGAGGCTGAGGCAGGAGAATTGCCTGAACCCAGGAGGCGGAGGTTGCGGTGAGCCGAGATGGCGCCATTGCATTCCAGCCTGGGTAAGGAGAGCGAAACTCCGTCTCAAAAAAAAAATAATAATAATAATAATTATTATATATATATATATATATACACACACGCACATATAAATAAACAAATAAAAAGTTTAATTTTAAAAAGTGTGCAGCCCTAAAGTGACCACAGTTCTGAGGTTGTGTGGGCCCAGCAATGAGGCTGATACGGTCAATTCACGAACACTGAGCTCACGGGCAGCGGCACTGTAACGCTGAACGAAGCTCATTAACACGCGCATTTTCTCCATGAGGTGCCTCAGAGTCTTCCTATGGTAGGGACGCTGAACACTTAGCACTGCTCTTGGGGCCATTATAAACAAACAGCAACACTGCCAGAAAAGCACAGATATGCCAAAAACATGGCACCAAATAGACCACAGAGGGCACGTGTTTTCAGCGTGTGCTGAGACAAGAACACTGTGTGACAACTCCTCCAGCCTCAGCTGGGCGTAAGGTGCCCATCAGGCGGCTGAATTTTTCACTGCTCTGCGCACGTCCACACGTGCCCACAAAAGCTCTGTGAAATTAATCATGGACTTACAAATAAATGTTAGCAAGTAGGTGAATTCTCAAATACAGAATCTGCAAGTCATGAAGACTGACCATCCTTGTGATAGCCAGGTGGGGACACAGAGTGGTTGCCGACGTGGATGAGGAGAGGACTGGGCGGCTCACGGCGCAGGCAGCTACCCCAGAGGGCTCTCCCGCCAGATGTCTGTGGATCCCGTAGCAATAAAACGCCAAGCTCACTTACCATTTCCAGCTCCATGTCCAGGAGCTTGCAGGCACCATATACAGGAGGCTTCGCTGGAATGACACCAGAAAAGAGGCTGCTGTGAGCAGGCCACAGAACTCACCGCGTGGGAACAGGGCCTGGAAGCTGGGTCACTTACAGTCATCAGGTTGCATCTGTCCCATGGGCCTTCGGATTGGAGTGCCGGACACCACGACAGAGGAGGCCCGGCCATGGTAACCCACTGGTAAATGCAGCCTGAGAAAGGAAGGTAAGAGAATGCAGGGCATCAGAGGTGTTACATGGTGTCAATTAACCTTAAAACTTCAAAAATTAGAAACAAAGAGTCGCAATATACAGATGGCTCGAAAATTAAAAGGTGCTTACAAGTTTTCATCCACGGATGAATGCATAAACAAACAGTGGCCTGTACATACAGTGGAATATTATTCAGCCTCAAAAAGGAAGGAAATTCTGAGCCGGGCACAGTGGCTCACGCCTGTAATCCCAGCACTTTGGAAGGCCGAGGTGGGCAGATCACCTGATGTTAGGAGTTCAAGACTAGCTTCACCAACATAGTGAAACCCCCTTCTCTACAAAAAAATACAAAAATTAACCGGGCATGGTGGCGTGCACCTGTAATCCCAGCTATTCGGGAAACTGAGGCAGGAGAATCACTTAAACCCAGGAGGTAAAGATTGCAGTGAGCCAAGATCACACCACTGCACTCCAGCTTGGGCAACAGAGCGAGACTCCATCTCAAAAAAAAAAAAAAAAAAAAAGGAAGTAATCCCAGCACTTTGGGAGGCCGAGGCAGGTGGATCACGAGATCAAGAGATCGAGACCATCCTGGTCAACATGGCGAAACCCCGTCTCTACTAAAATATACAAAAAATTAGCTGGGCATGGTGGCGCGTGCCTGTAATCCCAGCTACTCGGGAGGCTGAGGCAGGAGAATTGCCTGAACCCAGGAGGCAGAGGTTGCGGTGAGCCGAGATCGCGCCATTGCACTCCAGCCTGGGTAACAAGAGCGAAACTCCGTCTCAAAAAAAGAAAAAGAAAGAAAGGAAATTCTGACTCACACTATAGCATGGATGAAGCTGGAGGACACGATGCACAGTGAAATAAGCCAGTCACGAAAAGGATGAATACTGCATGATTCCTCTTATATGAGGTACCTAGAGCAGTCAAATTCATAGAGACAGAAAGTAGACTGGTGGTTGCCAGAGGCTGGGAGGAGATGGGGCATGGGGAATTGGGGTTTGATGGGCACAGAGCTTCAGTTTTGCAAGACGGAAAGGGTTCTGGAGATGGACAGTGGGGACAGCTGTGTAACACTGTGACCATACTTAACACCACTAGATACTTAAAAATGGCTAAGATGGAAATTTTAGGTTACGTGTGTTTTTTCCACAATTTTTACAAAATCGAAAGGTACTTCGGGGTAAAGTACAATTGTCTCCTATCCTCACCCCTAGCACCAATTTGGCACTGATAGAAATACTCGAAAAACAGCTAATAATAACAGATAATCATGTACACAGCACTTAGCTCAGGCCAGGAGCCACGAGAGGTGCTTCTTGTGCTATTTTCCCCTTTTGTGTACTCTTCACAAGAGCCCTGCCCGGCTGGCATCGTCAGCCAGCGGGGAGCAAACTCTGGCTCTGAGACTGCCCCTGGCTTGGCTCTGGCCACCAATGCAAAGTGGTGATGCTGGGATTCAAACCCAGGTCTGACCATGAAGTTCTGCTGCTTCCTCGGTAGCCCACTCCCCACCTGATACAATGGCACCCCGAGAATAGGTCACACAGCACAGGACGGAAGAGTGATCCCAGGCAACTGGAATATTCAAGAGCTCCGTTCTTAAGACATAAATATGGAACAGGAAATAAAAGCACTCCCAGGTGTCAAAACGCACTAAAAAGCAGCTCAAAATAGTATAGCACTCATCAAAAACATCAACTAAACCCATGAAAACCATACACAGGTGAAAATGCTGCATGTGATAAAGATTGTTAAATGTCTTGGACGATGGGATAAGTTAGACCCTGCAATGGAATCAGGGGTAGCTCCCCAAAACACAGGGCCATGGACGCCGGGCGCAGTGGCTCCTGCTTGTAATCCCAGCATTTTGGGAGGCCAAAGTGGGCCGATCACATAAGGCCAAGAGTTCAAGAACAGCCTGGGCAACATGGTAAAACCCCATCTCTACTAAAAATACGAAAATTACCCGGGTATGGTGGCGCACACCTGTAATCCCAGCTACTCTGAAGGCTGAGGCAGGAGAATCGCTTGAACCCGGGAGGCGGAGGTTGGGGAGGCGGAGGTTGCAGTGAACCGAGATTGCACCACTGCACTCCAGCCTAGGTGACAGAGCAAGACTCCGTCTAAAAAAAAAAAAAAAAAAAAAAGGAGATATGGCCACGTCCTAACTCCCAGAAAACATGGAAAGAGTCTTGGTAGATAAAATCAAGTTAAGGATCTTGAGACGCAATCATCCTGGATTATCCAGGTGGGCCGTAAATCCAATTAGAAATATCCTTATTAGAGCTAGAAGAGAAGGCAGAGGAGGAGGAGGAGGCCACGTGAACATGGAGGACAGGCGGAGGCTGGAGTGGCGCGGCCACGAGGCACGGCTGCAGCCCCCGGAAGCCAGAACCAGTGAGGACAGGGACAGTCATCTAGAAGCTTCAGGGAGAGACGCCCCTGGTGACACCATGATCGCACACTTACGGCCACCAGAGCTGAGGGGATAAATTCCTGTTGTGGCATTTTCTTCCAGCCACCCCAGGAAATGGATACAGACCCACACCACACCTCACATGTGAAAGGAAATCCAGATGGATTCAACATCTAAATGTAAGAAGAAAAAAAAAAAAAAACCCAAGAAAAAATAGGCCGGGCACGGTGGCTCAAGCCTGTAATCCCAGCACTTTGGGAGGCCAAGGCGGGTGGATCACGAGGTCAAGAGATCGAGACCATCCTGGCCAACATGGTGAAATCCGTCTCTACTGAAAATATAAAAATTAGCTGGGCATGATGGCGTGCGCCTGTGGTCCCAGCTACTCGGGAGGTTGAGGCAGGATAACTGCTTGAACCCGGGAGGCGGAGGCTGCAGTGAGCTGAGATTGTGTCACTGCACTCCAGCCTGGCGCCTTGCAACAAAGTGAGACTCTGTCTCCAAAAAAAAAAAAAAACCAAAAACAAAAACAAAAGAAAAGAAAAGAAAAAAAAAAAGATCTAAATGTACAAAGAAAGGCTAGTACAAGCACTAGAAAGAAAAAAAAAAACCCACGAAAAACTTCCAAATTCTTGGGGTGGAGAAAGCCTTTCTAAACATTGCTTAAAAGTAAATGCGCTAAGGAAAATGATTGACATGTTTGACTTCACAAAAATGCAAAACTCTGTATCTAGAAAGACTGGCAAAGAAAAAAGATAACAAACTGGGGGGAAATATCTGCAAGGTGTTGCAACAAAGGGTTAATTTCTATCGCTTATAAAACACTCTTTTAAACTAATAACAGAGAAGTGACTGCAGAGATTAAACTGGCAGAGTATGGAAAAACATCTGTGAAAAAACAGGTAAGGCGGCCAGGCACGGCAGCTCACACCTGTTCTCTCAGCAATCTAGGAGGCCAAGGCAGGCAGATCGCTTTGCGTCCACAAGTTTGAGATCAGCCTGGTCAACAGGGCGGAACCCCATCTCTACAAAAAATACAAAAATTAGCCAGGCGTGGTGGCGCGTGCCTTTAGCCCCAGCTACTCAGGGGACCGAGGCGGGAGGATGGCTTCAACCTGGGAGGTCAAGGCTGCAGAGAGACAATGTCGTGCCACTGCACTCCAGCCGGGGTGGCCAGGCGAGACTCTGTCTCAGAAAAAGAAAAAGAAAAAGAAAATATATATATGTCACCGATTACCAAACAGTTTTGCCTCTGGAGAAGGGAACAGCATGGTGGCCTAGAGGTGGTTGAATTCTGTTTTTTCCCACTGTTTATTTACCCTTAAGTATCTTTTATTCTCAACCATCTATATATATTAACTTTTTGTTGCTTTTAATTTTTGTTAATGTTTGATAAATTATTTTGCAATATTTATGACATACAAAAACGTGTAATGACACCAGTGCCACCAAGGAGCTAAGGAAGTAACACTTGGCTAATCCAGTGCAACGCATCTTTGGGACTCCTCCCTGCTCTCACTCTCCTTCCTTCCTTTCCTGCCCCTCACTCTCGAGGAAACTCGCACGGTCCTCAATTCCCTATATGTACTTTTATTACTGTACCATATTTTTGTGGGTTTTTTTTTTTTTGAGATGGAGTCTCGCTCTGTTGCCAGGCTGGAGTGCAGTGGCGCGATCTCGGCTCACTGCAACCTCCGCCTCCTGGGTTCAAGCGATTCTCCTGCTTCAGCCTCCCGAGTAGCTGGGACCACAGGGGCACACCATCACGCCCGGCTATTTTTTGTATTTTTAGTAGAGACGGGGTTTCGCCATGTTGGCCAGGATGGTCTCGATCTCTTGGCCTCATGATCTGCCCACCTCGGCCTCCCAAAGTGCTGGGATTACAGGCGTGAGCCACCACGCCCAGCCATATTTTTGTATCTTTTTATAAAAATGATATTTTGCTGTGTATTTGGCTTATATGACCTACCCCCAAAAATTTATTTTGTAGAAGACTGAGGCAGATTTAAACTTATTTACATGGTGATATGTCAGTGATGTCAATAATGAAGTGAAAAAAGCAAATTTCGGGCTGGGCGCAGTGGCTCAAACCTGTAATGCCAGCACTTTGGGAGGCCGAGGCGGGTGGATCACGAGGTCAAGAGATCGAGACCATCCTGGTCAACATGGTGAAACCCCGTCTCTACTAAAAATACAAGAAACTAGCTGGGCATGGTGGCGCGTGCCTGTAATCCCAGCTACTCAGGAGGCTGAGGCAGAAGAATTGCCTGAACCCAGGAGGCGGAGGTTGCGGTGAGCCGAGATCGCGGCATCGCACTCCAGCCTGGGTAACAAGAGCGAAACTCCGTCTCAAAAAGAAAAAAAAAAAAAAAGAAAAGAAAGAAAAAAGCAAATTTCAGCAGAGTCTCGTTTCGTTAACTAAGGAAATAAAATCACACGCACGTGTGCATACATGTGGGCAGGCACGTGCGTCCTGGAGCAACCTACAGGCGGCCCAGCTTGCTCAGGCGTTGCCTCTGCTGAGTGGCTGAGGAAGAGCTCCCTTTTTCACCCACTGTGGTTCCCTTATTGGATTAAATTATAAAATTCAATTGCATGCAATGACGTGGCATGTAATAATTTAAACAATTCAGATGAAAAAAGGAGTTAGTACTCTCTCCCCATCCAGCCACTCCCCTGAGGAAAGCAATGTTCATCTGGAGTCTAATATTTTTTGCCTTTCTCTATGCTCATATCAGCCTATGGAAATAATGTATGTACAAGTGTGTGCCCGTGTGTGTGAGTGTGTGTGCTAAGCTGAAAAACGGCCCTCCAAAAGAGATCCAGATCCTAATCCCTGGACCATGTGGATATTATTACGGGCCAAAAAGGGTTTTGCAGATGGGATTAAGTTAGGAATCTTGAGATAGGGATACTGTCCCTGGTTATTTGGGTGAGCCCTAAATGTCATCACAAGGGTCCTCATAAGTCAGAAGCAAGGTCAAAGGAGGAAGCAGGAGATTAACAGTGGAAGCAAGTGGTTGGAGTGACGTGAGGAAGGGGCCAAAAGCCAAGGGATATAGGCAACCTCTAAAGCTGAAAAACCAAGGAAATGGATTCTCTCCTAGAACCTCCGGAAGGAAACAGCGCTGCAGACACCCTGACTTTAGCCAGTGAGACTGACTTCAGACTTCCGGCCTCCAGAACTAGAGGACAATATATTTGTGTTTTAAGCCACCACATGTTTGGTGATTTGTTACAGCAGCAACAGGAAACTAATACAGTGTGCATGTGCATATACATTCCTTGTCCTTCCATAAAAGTGAGACACACTTTACATAACTGCCTATAGTTTACCTATTTCACTTAACATAGATCAATGCACATCTCGCTTGATTTAAATCTTTCAGTAGCTACAAAACATTTCATATTGTGAACAGACCCATTTTTCAACCATTCCTCCACCAATAAACATTCCGATGACTGCCAGCTCTGGGTCACTAGAAACTCTGCTAATTAACATGCTTGCTCTTGGATAGAACCCACTGGTGCTTTTATTTCTGCAGGATACATGCAGGAAAAGTGAGCATTGCTGGTCAAAGAGTAGACACATTTTAAATTGTAAATGTTTTACTTTACACATTTTCTGTAGTGTTTGGGTTAATTCCAATAAATGTATGTTACCTTTATAATAAAGGCTGCATAGCCTTTATTAAAGGCTGTGAAAAGTCACAGCTGCAGGTCATCTTGCATCAAACATGGCTAGAGAAGGCCTGTTTGCTCTTACTCTGCAGAAGGACCGGGGGCAGGGATGGCTGCGGACCCCACACACGGTTTCAGCCACAGTCAACACTCATTTTCCAGGTCCCAGCTCTCCTCTCCCTTCCTGGTGCCCCTGCACACTGGCTACTGGGATTGTGGCACACGGGTGACAGCCAGCTCTTCTGGGGCTGGGCAGTCCACCGGGTCATCACCACCAAGGACACACAGATAGACAGGTTGAAGCTGGGTGGGGAAATCATAGCCTGAAGCATGTACAAGGCAAGAGTCTCTGATATTTGCCTGTCTCACGTGGAAGCCTGGAACGTGGAGCCTGGGTTCTGGCCTCAGATTCACCTTGTTCTGCAACCTTGGCATTGTTTCTCAACATCTCTGGCTTGGAACTGCTCTCTCTCCCTTTCCTTCTGCTTCATCTTCGTTCTAACAGACTGTTCCCGTCATGGCATAGCCTCCTGGAAACACTCGAGAGAGAGAGTAAAGCCCTGTCCCTACCCCAGCTCCTGTGTGTGGCTGGCGGCACCGGGCCTGGGGCGTAGGCCCTTCTCTGTGTCCAGGCTCTTCAGCTCCAAGGAACGATCACATCCAAGGCACAACATGGAACAAAGGGAAAGGATCCCAGCTTTGCAACCTCAGCTTGGTCAACGGCCGGATCCCGGGGCGGAGGGACAGGCTTTGGTCCTGTCGTGCTCAGGCAAGCTGATCTTTCTCTGAGCCCATTTCCCCGTCCGTAAAATGGGGCTTACCATCATGGCCTTGTGACATCACAGAACTACTAGAAGAATGGAACAGATGAACGAAATGGATCACATGTTGAGGAATATACAGCACTGGGCACATTTGAGGTTTCGCATTCCTCAGAACATGTAAGTCTGGAACATGCCAGAGTCTAAGACTTGCCCACAATACAATATACACAGCTTATAAATGAAAGACTCTAGAAGCAGCGTAGTGATTCAGGGAATCCAATTCCAACCCCTGCTGTCCAAAGGAGCTTAAGGGACTTGCCCTTCGACCCCACAGCAGGTACTGAGCCAAACTGAGCAGGAGACCAGAAGCGGAGACCAAGGCTTCCAGAGGTTGCAACATTGTAACTGCTTTTCCTCCCCTGTTTACTTTAAGAAGAACTTGGCAGCTCCTGAGGTAAACATGCTGTTGGAAATGAAAAGGCAGACTTTGAACTTATGCAAACATTTGCCTCGGGACATACCAATTTGGCATCAACGCATTCTCCTTGCCTCTGAACATGACTCCGACGTTGGTTGCGTGCTGCCGAGAGGAATAGAAGTCTGTGTAGTCTCCTGCAGAGCAAAGACCCAAGAGATCCCATCAGCAACCCAGGAGCCTCAGAAGAACGGACTGTTCCAAGCACAGGAGCCAGGAGCGGGCACACAATAGTGTTTACACAGCCCGGAGCCCAGCCTGCATCCACTACTCAGCAGTGACAGCACCAAATGCAACATACAATATCCTCACTGAAGATTTGTTTTTAGAGCCCTCAACTGGGAAACAATTAAGAAGTCAGGAGTCTAAACCTTCTGAAACTGACAGTGGAATGTAAATACCAAGTGGCTGACTCCACCCCCCTTCTCAGGCTCCCGACTTTCACCGCACACAACTGCCATTCCCAAGTCCCTAAAGGCTCCCTCACCATGCCTGTGCTGACCGACTTCTCCCTTGGCCCTGGGTATTCAAATCCTGGCAATTCTTTGAGGGCCCCTCCTCCCTGAAGCCCTCCCTGCTCTCTCTATCAGGATCTCTGCCCCCTCCAAACCTCCCCCCTGAATCCTTCTGGGGCAGGCTTCGCTTCGCAACAGGTGCTCAGGTTATGTGTGTGTACACCTTTGCTGGCCTGCGACCCTTCCAGGACAGCCCTAGCCCAGTCCTCATTTCTTAGACTCTGCCCCAGTTCCAAGGACAAGGACTTGCATGCTGTGGACGCTAATCAGTGCCTGTCGATTATGATGAACTGAACGCGGTGGCCAGCAAGCTGCAGGCATCATCTACCATTCGGAGAATTAAAAATCTGCATGAAAAACCAGCTGGGACAGTCTACCTGTTTTATCTTCCTAAATCTCTCCTCAAAAAAAAAAAAACAAAAAACAGGGCCGGGAGCTGTGGCTCACGCCTGTAATCCTACCACTTTGGGAGGCCGAGGTGGGCGGATCACCTGAGGTCAGGAGTTCAAAACCAGCCTGGCTATCATGGTGAAACCCCATCTTAAAAAAAAACAAAACAAAACAGCTGGGTATTTACCAATACCAACAGCCTAGACTAGCAATGGTTGTGGTGAAGGATGTGGAGAGGAAGAAAAATCCATGGGGCAGGTGGAGCCTTCGCTGCTGTTTCCCGTCTTTCGTCCCCATGCGCAGAAGTAATAGCAGAGAGATTTTTCAAAAGAATAAATCCATCACACAAAAAAATAGAAAAGCATCATCGGTCAACCAGACATGATGCGGAATCTCTGAAAGACATCTGCTTTGTGCAGCAGACGGTTTGCCAAAACATGGCAGAGTCCCATGAGTGCATGAGACGGGGGAATGAGAGGGGCTAGGAGGAGGCGGGTGACTGGGCTCCTGTCCCCAACCCCATCCTCCAGCCAATTCAGCCGAAGCAGCCCAGCAGCGGAGGACTCTTCCAGAGAGGCAGTATACCCCAGGGGAGGGTCAACCGGCCCCTTCCTCAGCTCACAGGTACCCAGGTGACCCAGCAGAGGAGGCCTGTGCACAAGGCAGGCGGTGCTTTGGGCTGCGCCGGCCTCTCTCTGCTTCAGGCTGAGTTTCAACAGCTCCAGCTTCCTGAATGACGCTCCAACCACACATCCTGCCACGTGCTCAAAACAGGGCCCTTCACAGCCCTGTGGCCTCTTTCCTTAAAACTGCTGACTCACAGACTGAGCTCGGAGAACTTGTCCTGTAGCCTTTGGGGGGAAGGACAGCCATTTGCCATGCAGGGAGCCATGTAGCTCGTCATGAACTAGAACAGCCTGTAACTCACCACCTGAGGCAAGATACAGCCTGAGTGCTGAGAAAGGTCAGTGATGGGAAGCGGGACACAGCCCCAGAGCCCCTCCTCCACCTCCTCCCCTGGGAAGGACCCTCCATGCAGACCCAGCGCCGAAGCCCCTGGCCAACCCTCTTGGCCCACAAAGCTGCTCCGTTCTCGTCTTGCTGAAGACACTGCACTCACCTATGGCAGCTGGAAGGTGCATCGTGGCAGACACCTGGGAGACGAATGCACTGAAACACAGAACCGGGGGCTTCAAAGTCAAGTAGGCAGCAAAGCGCAGTCCCACCCACAGGCTCAGTCCCAACTATCCCCAAGATGATCAGCCATCTCCAGTGGGCACCTCCAGGCTGGCCTGGGGCCAGAACTATGCTGAACCTTTCACAGCTGAGAGGGCATCCGTCCCCTGAAGCTGTTTCTATATTCTACCCTAACAAACGGGACTAGACAAGTGGGAACTCTTTCCTACTCTAGCAACCAGATGAGGGCCCAGAGGACGCTGATGACGGCTGGCTGAGTAAGAGAGAGGGCCAATGGGCCTGGCCTGGCCTAGCTTGGGCAGCTCCAGCCCAGGCAGGGGCAATCCGAGTGCTCCCTGAACCCTCCCATCGATATCCAGCCCAGGCAGGGGCAATCTGGGTGCTCCCTGTGCACTCCCACCGATATCCAGCCCAGGCAGGGGCAGTCTGAGTGCTCCCTGCACCCTCCCATCGATATCCAGCCCAGGCAGGAGCAGTCTGAGTGCTCCCTGCACCCTCCCATCGATATCCAGCCCAGGCAGGGGCAGTCTGAGTGCTCCCTGCACCCTCCCATCAACATCCAGGCCAGGCAGGGGCTGGATGGGGTCAGGTCTGACTTGACCACACCAAGGTTGCCAAGCCATGACACAGAATGGCACTGACCAGCACACAGTCCTCATCCTCCCCCCTGCTGCAGCCCCTCCTCCCTGCCAATGACCACGTGCTTCTTACCGCTTCCGAAGCTCCGTGTCATCTCTGAGCCTGGGTTGGCTCACAGACAGCAAGTTCTGCAAGAACACTCTCGCCTCCTTCCAGGCAGCCTGCCCCAGGCCCATGAAGCTGTTGAGCGTAGGCTAAGACCAAAACAGGGAGAAAGATCACACCCAGGAAAGCTTGGAGAGGATCCCTCCTGCCGATGGGAGGCCAGGAGCCGGCCGGCCCCCACCCCGTCTCTCCCGCTGACTCAAACTCTCAGCACCTCCGCTCTTAGTTTTGTAGTCGGCTCATCAAGCTGGAGAAAAGCATATACTCTCTTGATGTTGCCTCGTGCCCTCGTGCACCTGCACCAATTGTCCAAGCCCAGGAGCTGCTACCAGGCTCAGCAACTGGGCTACGCTTGGCCCGGCCCACAGTGGAAGGTGACTATGTCCTTCCAAGAGAGGCACACTCCCGCCTGCAGAGTGATCCAGTCCAAACGAATTCGTTTCACATCAGTTAAGAGGTTTTGGACCAGGTATGGCGGCTCATGTCTGGAATCCCAGCACATTGGGAGGCCAAAGCGAAAGATTACTTGAGGCCAGGAGTTCAAGACCAGCCTGAGCAATATAGTAAGACTTCATCTCTATTAAAAAAAATTTTCCAGCCGGGCGCGGTGGCTCAAGCCTGTAATCCCAGCACTTTGGGAGGCTGAGGCGGGTGGATCACGAGGTCAAGAGATCGAGACCATCCTGGTCAACATGGTGAAACCCCGTCTCTACTAAAAATACTAAAAATTAGTTGGGCATGGTGGTGTGTGCCTGTAATCCCAGCTACTCAGGAGGCTGAGGCAGGAGAATCGCCTGAACCCAGGAGGTGGAGGTTGCGGTGAGCCGAGATCGCGCCATTGCACTCCAGACTGGGCAACAAGAGCGAAATTCCGTCTCAAAAAAAAAAAAAAAATTTCCCATTCTGTCATCCAGGCTGGAGTACACTGATGTGATCTCAGCTCACTGCAACCTCTGCTTCCTGGGTTCAAGCAATTCTACTGCCTCAGCCTCCCGAGTAGCTGGGATTACAGGCACGCGCCACCATGCCCAGCTAATTTTTGTATTTTTAATACAGAGGGGGTTTCACCATGTTGGCCAGACTGGTCTCGAACTCCTGACCTCAAGTGATCCGCCTGCCTCGGCCTCCCAAAGTGCTGGGGTTACAGGTGTGAACCGCCATGCCCAGCCTCTATAAATTTGTATTGTAATAGGCTGGATGTGGTGGCTCATGCCTTTAATCCCAGCACTTTGGGAGTGCTGAGACCTGGAGGTCACTTGGGCTCAGGAGCTTGAGACCAGCCTGGGCAACACGGCAAAACCATATCTCCACTAAAAATGCAAAACTTAGCCATGGTGACATGCCCCTGGGATGCATGTCACCATGCAGCCTCCCAGCTACTCGGGAAGATGACGGGGGAGGATCACCTGAGCCTAGGGAGGCTGAAGCTACAGTGAGCTCTGATCATGCCACTGTACTATAGCCTGGACAACAGACAGAGGGTTCGTCTCAAAAAAAAAAAACCGGAACTCTTTCCTACTCTAGAAACTAGACAAGGGCACAGATGACGCTGATGATGACCAGCTGAGTATGAGAGGTTTTTTAATTTAAAAAAAGAAGAGGTTTTGTAGCCAGTGAGGCACAGCAGAAAAAGCGCTTGTAGGTTCTAAGAGTCAGAGTTCCAGCCTCAGCTCTGAAACTTCTAGCTGTGCTGCTTGGGGAAACTGTCTCATTCCGGAAGTGCAGGTCCCCATCTGGATGCTCAGGTCTCTGTAGGAATTCCAATTCCTATGCCAGAGGGTGGTTGGGAGGATTGAAGGAGAGGATGTGTATGAAGCTCCTGGCACACAGAGGTACCCATAAATCCCACCCTCCTTCCTGACCCATGCAATGAGAAGACGCTCTATCAAAGTAGCGGACCATTTACAGGGAAGCAAATTCGTGCCCATCCCTTGTGAACATGTCCTTCCGGGCTGACTCCTCCCTGGCTGCTTCTGCAGAACTGGAGGCCGGGGTTCACAGCTCCCTCCCTCGGGGGCCCTCACAGGCCTTGGACAGGCAGAGGCCCCAACTAGCTTGGCAAGGAAAGTAACCAGAGTGCCTGAAAAGCTTCATCTCAGAGACAAGTAGGAACGATCCAGGACTGCAGACACCAATAATTTTTTCATCTAGGAACTCGCCCAGAGGTGAGAAGCCGCCCTGAGTTGTCCCAGGGCCACCTCCTACTAGCTTGTCTGTCTCAAAACAACCTTAGCCTTATCCAAGACCTCTGAGACCTCCAATGGCAGGACCTCTGTTGAAAATGGAATATAAAGCCGGGCGCGGTGGCTCAAGCCTGTAATCCCAGCACTTTGGGAGGCCGAGGCAGGTGGATCACGAGGTCGAGAGATCGAGACCATCCTGGTCAACATGGTGAAACCCCGTCTCTACTAAAAATACAAAAAATTAGCTGGGCATGGTGGCACGTGCCTGTCATCCCAGCTACTCAGGAGGCTGAGGCAGGAGAATTGCCTGAACCCAGGAGGCGGAGGTTGCGCTGAGCCGAGATCGCGCCATTGCACTCCAGCCTGGGTAACAAGAGCGAAACTCCGCCTCAAAAAAAAAAAAAAAAAAAAAAAAAAAAAGAAAATGGAATATAAGGAGCATTTTCCTGTTGGCATCCACAGTAAGTGCCACTGAGGTCGGGAACAAGCTGTTTTGTTTATTTATTTATTTATTTATTTATTTGCTTACTTACTTACTTACTTATTTTGAGACAGAGTTTTGCTCTTGTTACCCAGGCTGGAGTGCAATGGCGCGATCTCGGCTCACCACAACCTCCGCCTCCTGGGTTCAGGCAATTCTCCTGCCTCAGCCTCCTGAGTAGCTGGGATTACAGGCACGCGCCACCATGCCCAGCTAATTTTTTGTATTTTTAGTAGAGACGGGGTTTCACCATGTTGACCAGGTTGGTCTTGATCTCTTGACCTCGTGATCCACCCACCTCGGCCTCCCAAAGTGCTGGGATTACAGGCTTGAGCCACCGCGCCCGGCTATTTATTTATTTTTTAATGAGATGCAGTCTCGCTCTGTCACCCAGGCTAGATTGCAGGGGCGTGATACCTCAGCTCCCTGCAACCTCCGCCTCCCAGGTTCAAGTGATTCTCCTGACTCAGCCTCCTGAGTAGCTGAGATTACAGGCACCCGCCACCACGCCTGGCTAACTTTTATATTTTTAGTAGAGACAGGGTTTCACAATATTGGTCAGGCTGGTGTCGAACTCCTGACCCACCTCGGCCTCCAAAGTGCTGGGAGTACAGGTGTGAGTCACCACGCCTGGCCTGTTTCACAATGTCTTACCTCACTGAAGACATCCTGGTGTTTGGAGAGGACAGGTCCAGTGAAGAGGTGCTTGATGACGCTGAGGTCCAGGATCTGCTCGCCAATAGCCACGCCTATCCTCGGTCTTGGCTGGGAGGATGACGACATAGTCAGCATCAGAAAAAGCCCCTGGCGGGGCTTGGTTCATTTACTCCGAAAGCCTGTCTATTGATGACCCCAGGGTCCCCCTTTAGATGTCCCTGTATGCACAGTGGACGGAGGAACCACATCCTCAGCAACCTGTCCCAGCTCCCTTGTGCCATCTCTGCTGCCAGGACTCAAAGGAAAAAGAATCTGTGTTCCCTGAATGGGAAATAAATCAAACAGCCCTTGGACTTGAGGAAGAGCAGCCAGCCTGGTCCCTGCTGGACAAAGTCCCCTGCAAAGTTCCCCAGGCATTACATAAATGCCTCCGGCGATGAGGAGCTCACCACCTCACCAGGAGGTTGGATTCTTTTCCAGGTTTAACCTGGGCCTTGGCTCAGGGTAATTCAGCTGTGCAGTGAAGAATGAGTGTCCAGCGCACAGTGCTGAGGGCCAAGTGGCTTGGATTAATCAGCTCTGTTGTGGCTCAAATGGAGGAGAAGTCAAAAAGGGAGCTGCAGGAAGCCAGACTGCTCAGAAAATCCAGGGGAAGTTCCTTTCTGCACCGTAAAATCCAAGCATCAGCAAAGATGTCTTAAATATTTGTAAGGTCTGGTCTTTGTCCCCACAACCCTGAGCTTTGCTGGTCAACAAACAACCAGAGGGCATGTCTGCAAGCTTCCTGGGGCTCTGTCCTGAGCCAGGCTTCCAGCTCTCCCGAACGACCAGCTTGGCCATTTCAGTGCCGGTGAGCTTAGTGGTGGGATTACTGGCTCGCCTTATCTCCACTGGCTGCTTATTTGGATGGGCCGAGAAAAGACGGCCATTCCTCCATGCATGTCAGCTCTTGGGATGAGGGGTAAACCAGAGCCGCACTCATCTGAGGTCCCAGCAGAGCCTATCCTAGAGAGGGCTGCCTGGAGAGCTTAGCTACCCATGCTCAGCCCCACTGCCAGCTCCCTGGGCCTCAGTCTCCCCTCCTGAAAATGGCAAATCTGCAGTAGGCAAAGAGCTGAACCACCCGGATCCGAGTGGCTTTCCACTCAGGGAATGTGCAGGACAGACACTTGGGCCACATCTCTGACCCTGGTCCCCGCACCCAGCTGAAGGCAAGAAGGAGCCACTTCCGCTGAGCAACCTCCAAAATGGGGTCACAAGCGCGGCTGCCTGCTACCTCAAATGCAAACAAGCCCAGAAGCACCGGGTAGTGAGTTACCGCCCTTGTGCTTCAAACTATGACCTGAGGACCCCGGAAAAGTCTGAGAGAGTGATTCCCTCTACTTTCAACCTTGGGAGTTATTTTCTTCAGCACGAAACTAGAGGGGGCTCGTGGGTCAGATCCAGGATTCCCGGGCTCCAAGTCTGCTCCCCCATTCACCATCTTGTGGTCTTGGACAAGTCCCTGGTCCTCTCTATGTGTCAGTTTCCCATGTGCAACTTGAGGGCGACAAACTAAGGAGAGAGACTCCATGTGCCTGACTTCCAGAGAATGAATGCGTATTGCCTCTGTTGTATAACAGTTGGTTATATCTGATATAAAGTTGTCCAAAGGAAAGCATTACCCAACTCTCAGCCTGACATACAGGGGGAAGTATGGGAGTGGGAGGCTGACGGATGTGGGGATCAACCCCGTATCTGCCTCCTACTGGCTGTGAGCTCTGGAGCATGATGCTTTGCCTGTCTGGGCCTCCGTTTCCTCATCTGTAGAATGGGAATAATAACTTCACAGTGGGTTTATTGCGAGAATTCAATTAATATCTGTGAATCTCTCCCCACAAGAACAGACACAGGATCAACACTATTCATGCCGCAAATATTTACAGAGCATCTTCTCGGTACCAGGCTAAAGAGAGCGGCAGCCAGGAGGCAGTGGCAGGGCCAGACCCCAGGGACTTTATTTAACAAGGCACTCAGCAGAGCAGCTCCACTCTACTACAATCCCGTCCTCAGAGGCCACCAGCCCTGCCTTCACAGAGAGCACCCCTATACATCTTACGAGTCAATGAGCAACCAGAAATGGAGGGAAGATGTCTTCTGTGTCTTTGATCCCCAACTCCCAGCCCAGGCAAGGTCTGGACAAGAGTTGGGGTCCGTAAGCATTCGCTGAATAAAAAAATGAAAAAGTGATGGCTGGATTCACTGTTGTTCCACTCAAATTAGGAAGGGCTGGCTGCTGACATGGGGGAAGGGAGGTTTTGCCTTGGCAACTAGTCTAACCGGGCAAGGCAGCCATCACCGATGGAATATCCACATGCCTGCAGAGAAAGCTCTAGATGAAGCCTGTTCAGCTGGAATGCCAAAGGGGCCAACTGTCCCCCACCAGCACTCTCTGAGATGAGAGCGGGATGGGGCTCTCTCTCCCAGACATCAGTAGCAGCTGCCCTGCACATTCTGATGTTGAAATGGCAGGACATGGTGTCTGAAAGGGCCGAGCCACACTCTAAGGGACATTAATTCGATCTGAGAAAGCAAGTCAGAGCTCCCTACTGGGGTGTGCCTGCCTCTCACAAATGTTTCTGTCTCATGGATTTGTGCTCCCAGGAAAGGTGTGGGAGGACACATCTGCTGAGGGCAAGGTGTTCGAGGCGGGCAGAGGGAGGGCTCTGTCTCCAGAAAGGGTAAACAACCCATCACATGCCTCAGATTGTGTCCTCCAGGGGACTGAGTGTCCACTTTCTGTGTCCTTGCAACATCTGGTCAGCCCAGCCAGTTGTGAAACCACAAACTGACTCTTCTAGACCAAGGCACTCCCCGCAGACAGGCCCACAAAGGCAAGCCAGTTGCGTCCAATGATAAGCCATGGGGGAGGGAAGGGACCCCACTTCCCAGGAAGAAGCCAGCTGCCAGACCACTGATTTAGCAAGCATTTCCTGTTTCTAGGGTTCTATGGCTTACAGAGCTGAATCAGGAGTTTACCTTTAAAGCTGGGGGCAGAAATCTAAGCCCAAAATACCATCAACAAAGCCAAGGGAATCTGCTTTTCCAACCTAGGGACCCTCTTATTATCTATTTGCTGATACCCCCAGTTTTCAAATACTTCTTTCTACCAGTCAGACTACACTGACTTAAAAAGTTTGTTTCCCTGCCCTGTTTCTTCTGATCAGTAGAGAAATGCCAGGGGGCCCTCACCAGGAGGTGAAAGAATTCCAGCTAAAGGCAAAGACACTTGCCATCTTAGATCTCAGAGCTCTAAGCCAGGAAATACGCACGCCCCTCTGGGCTGCTACGCATACCGGTTAACATTTCCCGCGTTCTAGGGTTAGAGGCTACCCAGCGAGATGAACCACCGGCCCTGATCTGGTCTCTTGGCGCAGGCTGCACGCCTTTGTGCGGCAGCTTCGGGTGGCAGAATCCTGCTGGCTCTGCTCGTCTGGGAGAGAGGCACGCTTCATTTCATTTTGCATTTAATTCTCAGCAAAGCTGCGGACACTGAGGCTGAAAAGTTACATCACGTGCACAGCTAGAAGGTTACGGGGCGGGACTGGAGCCCACAGGCACGCTCGGGGAACGGATCTTAGGAGAAAAACGGCCCACGCCTCCACCCCGCCCCCCACCCCACTCCACTCCACTCCCTCCCCGCGCTCGGAAGCCGAAGCCCCTCTGCTCACGTCGCCTCCGGTGGAGAAGACGCCGTAGGGCAGGTTGTGGACGGGGAAGTCGGAATCCGCGGCCACCGGGACGAAGGACATGCTGGCGAGCACCCGACCCTGGCGTGCGGAGAGCGGGACTGAACTTGGCCGCCGCCGGCCGGCCCCGCCCCCGGCCCGCCCCCGCGGCCTCTCCAGAGGACACAGCAGGGATCCCGGAGACCCTGCCTGCCTTTTGGTGTCGCCGTGAACACCCCGCCCCCGAACCCCGAACCCCGAACCCTGCCCTTCCCCTAGCCCTGCCCCGCGAGCCCCGGGTCCTCCACAGTCGCGCCCTGCCTTCCAGAACCCCGCCCCTCCCTTGGCCCTGCCCCGCGAGCCCCAGGTCACTCACAGTCTCTCCTCCCTCCCCGAGCCCCGCCCCTTCCTTGGCCCGGCCCCGTGAGCCCCGGGTGACCCATAGTCTCTCCTCCCTCCCCGAGCCCCGCCGCCTCCCTGGTCTCTGTCCAGTCCGCAAGCCCACCTCGAGGAGATCCGGTTCTAGCTCCCGCTCAGGGCAGCTGGTCCTACCGAGACATTTAAGGCTCTGGCCTGCGTGACTCCAGCCTTGCTCCCCGCAGCTGCTTCCCTGCTTTTCAGCTCAGCAGGACTCTCGTGCGCTTCCTGGAACCCCAGACACTGCTGCTGTTTCCCCAGAAGCTGCTTCCTGGGCTTCGGACCACCACCCAGTCAGGTCCTTTCTCCCTTCGTAAACCATGCTGCTCCTTCCAGCTATGACACTTCCGCTTGTGTGTCAGAGAAGGGGACAGTTATGCCTATTAGGAAGGCTTCAATTAATGATAACTAATATTCTAAAAAATATAACTCACCTGTTTCACATGCCAGTGGTCAAATGACGTTGACAAGCTGCTCAACCTTGGACAAGGTACTTAACCTCTCTCTACCTCAGCTTCCTTCCCTGTATAATGTTGATAATAGTTCCTACTTCACAAAGTTGATATGAGAATGGAATGAATTAATGTTTGTGAGCACTTAGAATAGCGCCTGGCATACAGAGATCATCTGTGTGTGGAGAGAGAGAAGGGAGGGAAGAAGAGGAAAGGAAGGGAGGGGGATAAAGGAAAGGAAAGAAAAAAGAAAAACAGGAAAAGAGAGAAAAAAAGGAGGAAGGAAGGAAAGAAGGGAAAGGCAGACTATCTTAGGGTGGGTTCAAGGCGTTGTCTAATCACTCATGTGCAGTCAGCTGCAGTTTTTGAGACCATGTCATAGCCAGGACACTGGGAACACGCCAGACTGAGTGTTGTGTTGGTGGTGGTGTGAATGAGTCAGCCACACTTTAAAACAGCCAGGACACTGGCTGCAAGCTAGAAAAGTAGACGGTAGTCTGGACAAGGGTTCCCGGAAGATCCTTGAGGAACGGTACAGTGACTACGGCGTTAGGGGGCTGCTGTGCAGTTGGGCTTGGGGAGAAGAGGCTGCAAAATGGCAGGATAATGTGAGCTAAATGGGCCTGAAACCAGAAGGCTTGAGACGAGTGGGTATGGCAGGCAAGCGGGGCCCGCTGTTGAGCCCCCTTCCTAGCCCCTGAGATCACTCTGGTGCCTGTCCACCAGGCGTGACCAGCGATCACCCAGTGAGGAGCTCGGTCTGGGCACAGCCTCTTGGCTGTCACCTCCTGCCCTGAGGCATTCCAGGCAGCACTTGACGTCTGCCTAATTCAAGCTACTCGTCCACTGCAAGGCACTGAATTATTTCCACGATCTGTAGTCGCCCTGCCCTTTCCCACCAAAAGCAGGAGCTTTCTCACTCCATGCGCAACTCTGTCAACACCGAGCAAAACACCCATCGCAAAACAGGTGCTCCATAAATACATAAGTCGTTGATATAAAGCTGTTGACCAAAAGGAAATGAGGCAATAACTAATAAGCCCGTCCTCTACGCCAGGCCGTGGGGAAATGCCTGCAACTCACATCTTTAATTCCTTCTTTATGGAGTATGTGTCGTGTGGGGGATGTGAGGCCAGGAGCTTCTACTGAATACACACGAGTTAACAAAAGCCTAAATGATAAAACTCTTGGAGACAGAAAACCAACATCTTTTAGGGAAAGGAGGTGAGGCAGATGTATGTGTGGTAAAGGGTGTGGGGATGAGACGGCTGAAGATGGAGTAAGATTTCATAGTTTTAAAATAGACTTAACCAACCCACTAATTATACATAGTGTCTGAAAACGCCAAAGATGTTCTCTGTTTGGGAAACAGCATTTGAAATAACTGCAAGTATACTATATTTTTTCGTTTTCATTTTTTGGAAATGAATGTGTTGGGCATGTGCATCACAACAGTTATTTAAAAATAATTTTAAAAGAAACATATTGCCTATAATCCCACCAACGTAGTCTTCACATTTTCATGTTTTTTTTCCCCCATGCCATTTGAATACACATGACTTTTCCATCCTTATAAACTTTACATAGTTTATAGGCAGGCGCGGTGGCTCACGCCTGCAATCCCAGCACTTTGGGAGGCCGAGGTGGGTGGATCACCTGAGATCAGGAGTTTGGAGACCAGCCTGGCCAACATGGTAAAACCCTGTATCTACTAAAAAATACAAAACTTAGCTGGGCATGGTGGCACGTGCCTGTAGTTCCAGCTACTCAGGAGGCTGAGGCAGGAGAATCACTTGAACCCAGGAAGTGGAGGTTGCAGTGAGCCAGACATTGTGCCACTGCACTCCAGCCTGGCAGCAGAGTGAGGCTCCATCTCAAAAAAAAAAAACTGGCCGGTCGCGGTGGCTCACGCGGAGGCTGAGACGGGTGGATGACGAGGTCAAGAGATTGAGACCATCCTGGTCAACATGGTGAAACCCCATCTCTACTAAAAATGCAAAAACTAGCTGGGCATGGTGGCGCACGCCTGTAGTCCCAGCTACTAGGGAGGCTGAGGCAAAGAATTGCTTAAACCCCAGGAGACGGAGGTTGTGGTGAGCCGAGATCGTGCCATTGCACTCCAGCCTGGGTAACAAGAGTGAAACTCCGACTAAAAAAAAAAAAAAAAAAAAAAAAAAATTTACATGGATGCAATTTTTCAGTCTTTCTCTACCTTAGTCTCTTGAATATTTTTCCTTGAGACTCAATAAGCTTCATTATTGTCACTGCCATTGGCTAAGGAAGTCGCAGTGTTTTAGATGGTAATAATAACGGTTCGGTGATGATGTACACGCACAGAATGTTTTCTTTCCTTGACAATTGTCTAAGGGTAGATTCCTCAGTCAAAGGGTATGAACACTCTCAGGACGGGCAGAGAGTTTCAGCACCTCCAGCAATGAAGGCTGGTTTGAGCCTCTGTAGCACCGTATTTACTGCCTCCCTCTGATACTAAAAAGCACACTGCGCTGCTGGTCTCACTCACGCAAAGCAGGCCCCTCGCCCCTTCACAAAGAGAGCTGAGAGAGAACTTTCTGGATCCAGGACACTGATGTCTTGCAAGGGCTCTGAGAAGCTGACAGTTGCCATTCAGATAAGTGAACGCTGCCTGCCCTGGGAGGCAGGATGGGGTGGCCTTTTCTGCAACATTCAGCTCTGCTGCATGGTCATGGAGGAAAAGAGGAAACTTTGTCAAAGACCAAGCATTTTAGCCAAGTAAATGTCCTCTTTTTCATGTCTGAGCTCAATCATGTTTATGGTACACATTGTGTAGTGGACATCATGGGTTTGGCATGTGTCCAGTACATTTTAGTACCAAAGATCTATGTGATGTGCAAATATATGTGACATTCTGTTCTGTCAAAGGAGATGAAAGTTTAGAGGATCTTGGAAGTGAAGTAAAGTAATTCAACTGCAAGTCAATGTTGTAACGGGGTAGAAGAGGACTGAATAAAGTCCTAACTCAGGGCCGGGGTTTCTGTAACATAAATTTTCTTCTGCCCACCCTCTTCAATTCTGTCTTTAGTCTGCTTTGTTTCAGATACTATTGTATCTAAGTTCTGATGGAATACTACCTCAAATCCATTTTGGATTTAAGCTGGATTTGAAAGACTCCCAAATAATAAGCTCACCTTAAATAAAAAACATGTCATTGACATCTGACTTAATTACGTGTACCATATAATGAGTTCTCAGTTAACTGTTATCAAAGCGGGAGCCGCTTTTCAGATTCCCCTTCACGGTGATTTCAACAAAACACTTCTGATTTTCTTGTAACTAAATACATATTTAATAGCTTTCCCATCTGAATTGTTCCTTTTTTTCTCAGCCAAATGTTTAGCGCCTTTTTGAACTGTAGGTATGGATCCCACCCTGCTTCCAGGAATGCAGAGGAATGTTGACACGTAGGTTACAACCTCCGTGTCCAACCTGTTTGGCATAGCCGAATAGATCATTCTTGGTGCTTCTCTCTGCAAACATTGTTTAGTTTGTCAATACTAAATGCACACTAAAATCTCTCTCGCTCTTTCTCTCTAAGGTTGGTTAGGCATGATTTTTCCTTGCGACCCCTTTCCTAGATGTTGAACAAAAGAAAACTATATGTAGTAAAGGAATATATATGTTAAGATTTCAAATAAGAAACATTTGAATTCTCTCTCTAGAACGTTCATATTGAGTTTGGGTTTAGGTTACCGTATATCATCAAATCTTCATTTCTTTTTTTTTTTTTTGAGACGGAGTTTCGCTCTTGTTACCCAGGCTGGATTGCAATGGCACGATCTCGGCTCACCGCAACCTCCGCCTCCTGGGTTCAGGCGATTCTCCTGCCTCAGCCTCCTGAGTAGCTGGGATGACAGGCACGCGCCACCATGCCCAGCTAATTTTTTGTATTTTTAGTAGAGATGGGGTTTCACCATGTTGACCAGGATGGTCTCGATCTCTTGACCTCGTGATCCACCCGCCTCGGCCTCCCAAAGTGCTGGGATTACAGGCGTGAGCCACCGCGCCTGGCCCTACTTCCTGTATTTCTAAAGCTATACTTGAAGACTATTTTGCATACTATGCTTCCATTTTGTTGTGTCACTATGGATCAGTTTTGGTTACTGTGTATTATTCCAGTATGTGAATATGTCACATTATATTCATCCACTCTTCTTCAGTGGGGATTTGAAGACTTCAGCTGTTTCCGGGTTTTTGCTTTTATAAACAGTATTAAAAAACTTCCTGTACTGGTCCCCCATTTATCTATGCAAGTTTTTCTTGGGTATGCACTTGAGAGTGCAATTTCTGGATTACTGGGTGTGTAAAAGTTCCACTTTAAAAGGTATTATCAAACTTTCTCCAAGAATGAACCATTTTCCACTAACACCAGCAATGCATGAGAACACGCAGAAATCTGCCAACACGAGATAATT